AATATAATATAATATAATATAATATAATATAATATAATATAATATAATATACTACAATATAATATAATATAATATAATGTAATATAATATACAAATTTTTTTTGTCTTCGAAGAAATTATTACAATCGAAAAGGTTCGAATCATTGTAACAGCGTAGAAAATGGCACAGCAGGGGTTCAAAATCGATTAAATCGAGGAGAATATAAATAAGTAACATTGAGTTACATCCACACCGATGTTCACCATGCCTCGAAAATAGCACAGGATTTGTCGGAGTGAAAACATTTTCCGAAAACCTTCACACGCCACGTAAGAAAACCGAGCAGATAAGAGATGCAACTTAAGTTAAAGATTTACGAGTAATACGCCATTTAGCCGGGAATAGTAACGAAGGAAATGTGACAACGAGACGCTAGAAAGAAAAAGCGTTGTTTGCAATGGCTGGTATCACGGCCTTATCATTCCGTTTGCGTATGCATATGTGCGTCTGTGTACGTGTAAGTCGGAGCAGGTTTCTCGTGAACTCTGGTTTAAATCAGTAACACGATTCTTGATATTTGCCGAAGCTTTATGTCTACCATGAATCCGCGTACAAGGAACCATTACTCTTGAAACGATTGTTTGCGATGTTCGAGCTGCAGCGAACAAAATAGCGACAGAGCTTCATCACGAATCATTAGAATTTTATGATATTTTTATACATTATTAGAATTTTATAATATTATTACACATTATTAGAATATTATTGTAAATGATAAGAATTTCATACTATTATTATACATTATTAGAATTTCATACATTTAGTGTACATTATTAGAATTTTACAATATTATTGTATATTATTAGAATTTTACAATATTATTGTACATTATTAGAATTTTATGATATTCTTATACATTATTATAATTTTAAAATATTATTATACATTATTAAAATTTCATACATTTAGTGTACATTATTAGAATTTTACAATATTATTGTATATTATTAGAATTTTACAATATTATTGTACATTATTAGAATTTTATGATATTCTTATACATTATTATAATTTTAAAATATTATTATACATTATTAAAATTTCATACATTTAGTGTACATTATTAGAATTTTACAATATTATTGTATATTATTAGAATTTTACAATATTATTGTACATTATTAGAATTTTATGATATTCTTATACATTATTATAATTTTAAAATATTATTATACATTATTAAAATTTCATACATTTAGTGTACATTATTAGAATTTTACAATATTATTGTATATTATTAGAATTTTACAATATTATTGTACATTATTAGAATTTTATGATATTCTTATACATTATTATAATTTTAAAATATTATTATACATTATTAAAATTTCATACATTTAGTGTACATTATTAGAATTTTACAATATTATTGTATATTATTAGAATTTTACAATATTATTGTACATTATTAGAATTTTATGATATTCTTATACATTATTATAATTTTAAAATATTATTATACATTATTAAAATTTCATACATTTAGTGTACATTATTAGAATTTTACAATATTATTGTATATTATTAGAATTTTACAATATTATTGTACATTATTAGAATTTTATGATATTCTTATACATTATTATAATTTTAAAATATTATTATACATTATTAAAATTTCATACATTTAGTGTACATTATTAGAATTTTACAATATTATTGTATATTATTAGAATTTTACAATATTATTGTACATTATTAGAATTTTATGATATTCTTATACATTATTATAATTTTAAAATATTATTATACATTATTANTAATGATGTTACACATTATTAGAATCTGCTACTAATATTATAAATTAGGGAAATACGTGATGAGCGAGAAAAATCCAATATGCTTGAAGATACAGAAATTCTTTCTTCTGCAACTCCTTTACTAAATATTCCCAATTGATAATACAATTAATTGTATTTGTATAATAGATTATTATAATAGCTTGCCAATTTCGATGCAGTTAACGATAAACATTAGAATCAGTTACAGTTTCTTACTATAACTATATGTGATCTTATGATCAAACGCTCCAGAAACGATTCCGAAATATATGTAAATGTTGTCCGTCGTAAGGCTTGTAAATAATGAAATCCACCGGTAATAATGACGGTGATAGACAGCACAATATTATCCTAAAAGTATTTTCTCGAAACGAAATCCGATAATCTTGAGCACGCGTCTACACAATAGCGACAGTCAGGAGCCTGGTCTAGAAGTGCAATAATTGACTAAAACTGGATCAGAACGATTAACCTTAATATCAAAAGCTAACATTAAGAAACCCTATAATAAAAGTCTACGTGGTAAGGGACAGCTGATGATACAACTGTAATGATGCTTGTCCCATTTTGCATGATCCACGGAATTACCTCGAAAATCGAAATTTAGGGAAACCTCCCTTACGCGAACACTCCACTTACAATTTTTTGGATAAAATTCTCGAAAGAAAAATCTTGAAATAAAGTATGCTCGATTAATAAATCGTTGCTAATCCAAAGTTCCGAATATAATTGCAGGCTTGCAAGACTCGCGTCGTCGTGCAAATTCCTCCCTAGCTTGGGAATACCATTTGGTTCTCGAGACAACGTGATTTCAGGCAAACAGGGAGCGGAATGTTTGGATGAAAGACAAATACGCAATAAAAAAAACCGTGCGAACGCGAAGATAATCACGTGCGAGCGCAGGAACCGCGAAACGGCGCGACGGATATGCCAGAAACCTTTAGTTCTGCGTTTCTTATCGACGACCGCGTTTTTAAAAATTGCAGTAACCGTTAAGATTATTTATTGTTACGTCTGTCTTTATAGCGCTTAATGCTCGAACGGCTGGCATCGGCTTTCACTATGCAGTTTCTGACAATTAATTTCATTTGACACAGGTTCCATTAACGTTTTTAGAAAACGTGTCCAGAGGTAGTATAAAATATACGTTGGAAAAGATTGATAAATAGAATTATAAATGACCCTATTAATAATTTATATTAACTAGCGGTAACACTTTTAAGCGCGCACTTAACGCAATTGCCATTTTAATTTTACGTTCCTCGTTTCATAAACGATGCTGGTTATTTTATTTCAATGAAATTAACACACTTTCTACGTGCCACACGTGACAAATTTGATTACCATCCGATTATCATCAATTACAATTAGTTTTCACCAGCATGTTGCAAACGAACACATTCTTTTTCACGATAATGACGATGATTAGTTGGAGATCTCCATAGAGTAGTTAACATGAATCACGAAGTGGAATAAAAGATTTCTAAATTGATAGAACTCACAGACCACGCTTTTCGTCGTTCTTATTAATCAAATGAACGATCATCTAAGAGTGTCGTGTCATTTTGTCTTTTATCATAATAATACTACCAACAATTCTAATTAGTAGTAACAATTCTATTAGTAATTAAAATTTTACGCATTCATGATAAAAATGAATAAATCGAATGCGAAACGGTAAAAACAGTTTAAAGAATTTCAAGATACTACATGATTGTCAACTTATCAAAATAAATATTTATGTACATCCTGTATCTCATAATCAGCGTAATTTTTATTCTGCGTAAAAATCCGCGGTCTAATTATTATAAACCGTAGAACGTGAGGCAAGTTAATTGTTCATTGTACAAGAATCGAATGATACGCTGTTCTCAAATGTTCTTACGTTCTTCTCACGAGTCAAAATTCTTTTCTCCTGAATAACTAATACGTATCCCGACCGTAGAGGACGATGCAAAGTAGGCTGTTACTAACCAATTTATGGAAGCTGGAATCGTATGAAAGTTCGCTCATTTCATTAATGGATCCGATGATTCAAGATAATGTGCAGTAACCTCGTTCAACTTTATTAAACGTTTTGCTCTATTGAACCTCGGGTGATCAGACATTTTATTAATTAGATACAGAAACATTTCCATTTCCGCGGACAAGCAAAAATACGCTGCCTAATATAAAATTCGTTAATAAAATCGAATCCTATTCGCAACGGGGGGTTTCGTTAAATCAAAAATAATGTTTCGATATTCGGTTTGTAGATTTTCAAGATTTCGACGATATCAATTTTTTTACAATTTTCCGTCACGAAAGTTTACAATTACTTTTTCAGTGTCTTCGACGTACGACGGTTTTGCTTAAATCGTATTTATGCAGGTCGTAATCTTTCGGGTTTCGTCGTAGATTGAAAAACAAGAGTTATGTACTCGTGTCGAAAAATACTTTTCGGTTTTCAAGATCGTCGATTCGAATCGCTGTGCTGCGATTGGTAAATGCAACACGGGAACAGCTATTGTAAGACAAGATTACAGGCAATTGAAGATGGTTGGTCACGGATATTCAGATTTAGAATAGATATTCTGTTGCGTGTTCCTTAACATTAATTTGCCAGGACTGAATGCCATGAACCTATACATGAACTGACATCGCTACTTAATTAGCTCTAGGAGCTATAGATATTAGCAAGGCCATATGCTGATCGCCAGATTATTCTATAAATATCCAGATTTTTGGTATTCTTCGATTAACCTGACGACTTGTTTCAGCAAAAACCAATGTTATTATCGCCATTTTCTAGATTTTATGTGGACTAGTGTTTTAACTCGATTAGTACTTAATTAAATTAAATTAGATAGATAGATTAGATAGATCTACTGTTACTATTTCATATAAATCTGGATAATTGTTTCGTTCGTAATTTTCTACTACTGGAACATTTGTATAACTCGGACGTTATTTACTAAATTCGCAAATCTTCGTGCAAGATAACAATGGTCTATCTTTTGATTGCATAACATAATAAAACGGTTGAGTATTTCTTAATAAATAGCACGAAAGCGACAACGATCTAACTCATAATTCAACAAATTATGTGAATTAATATGATGCAATAACGTGTTTTAAAACGATTATTCAGCTTCTTTTAGGAATAATTCGGTCGTTAAAAAGCTTACCGATAGGTTTCCAGTAAATAAAGTGTTAATAAGATCGCATTGGTAAGTCTACCTAATCGAAGTTATGGGATTACCGATTTGCCGAGCTGGTTCATGAAATCCATTCACGTTTCCGTTCTCACGGAGCCAAACAAGAGCAACGTTAACACATTTATAGCCGGTGAATCGAAAGCTCGTAGGACGAATCGATACATCGGTGAAAAAGGAATTTCCGAGCGACTTATTTATAGATTAACAGATGCCACAACCTTGGGTGTATAAAAGTTGATCTAAAAATAAAAGACCAATCCCGAAAGCTTATTTACTAATGGGAAATCGGCTCGACGATGTATAACGGTGTACGGTACCGCACGTAGGTACACGCAATTGTTGTTCGCGAGAAAACAGGCTAGCAAATTTTCATCGTTTCCAACCGCCATTAATATTATCATCGATTAAAACAGAACATCAAATTCTCGGAACACTCGCTCGGTAAATACGGTATCGAATCGATACTAAAAATGGCTCGTAAAAATAATCTATTGACCGCGACGCTTTTCCTTCGCTACCATTTATCGATCTATCTAGTTATCAACCGATGTTTACTGATCAAATACTTAATTGACGGATGTCGTAGATATCGTCTTCGATTAAAGCGTGTTACTTTCATTGCGAGCGTACGGTGGAATTTTGTATGTGTGAATCAGGGTGAAATTATTTGTCATACGAAAGCAGACTTTAACAACTAGGTTTACAGAACCCGTCTATTCAACACGTTAAACATTCTTTGATTTACGATTATTAATATTATAAAGATACATTTAGTAAGAATTTATTCAACGAATCTGTTTCGTCGGGCATACACAGATGTGCATACACAGATGCACATTTTTGAGTATAGGAAACCTTCTGCACAGGATACAAATTGTATCGCGTCAACGAAGATATTAATTTTATTCATTTAGAATCGTTCGATTCTTATTTTAATTTCGTAGTTTTTGTTTTACTTCTCTTCATCTTCATTACTTCGTATATTTATCTTCGAAGCCAAAATATTGAGAAATATAACTTCCGTCGGTGAGCGTATATTACAATAAAAGTCGCTACAAATGTGAACAAATATGTGCTTGTTATATTCACAAAGCAATATAAAATAGCATTTTTTAGTACCTCGTAAACCTAGCGTTCGGTTTCGTTTGAAGAAAACCGAATGCATCTGGTATACGTTTGCAAATTCTGTTTCACGTTTCCATTTATACTTAGCTAAAGCAGAATGCATAGCGATCGTATCCTGAGATCAATCTCGTACATTATGCGCTGTTTGTTATAGTCTCATTTGTTTCTATTGCTCCACTCTGTCTGCAATTGATCCCACACACTAATGTTAGACGATGGGTTATATTGCAGATACACTACCCTTCATAAGTATCCGGACACCTAGCAAAATTCCAACGATTACCGCATACATGCTACAACAATAGAATTATTTTTTAATTAAGTATACTGTTAATTCAAATTGCACGATATTAATTTGTTATCACCGTTTATAAACGCCTCATATATTCGTCAAGTATCCGTGGCTACTGCCCAGGTATCGACTAACATGTCTGACCATGATTTGCAACATCTCCTTGTAAATGCTTACGCATGCGTGTCCGATGAATATTCAGATTCTCTTGGAAACAGATTCTTCCATGGAAATCTGAGTTTAATCTCTTCTCCAATTTATATCCGATTAAATATTTATGTTATATTTCGTTCAATTATATTAATCTCTACAGCTGTTTTTTCAGATCTTGAACGCATGGCTCTAACATTTCCAGTTGTTTCGTCCCATAATTTTAATTAGCAACGTTCTCATCTCGCGTTTGTCAACCTTAAAAATACAATGATAAATAAAACGATTTATCTCAGGCGTCAATTTTAACACTTCTTTTTACTGGATGCTTACTAACAAGCTTTTCGATGGCTGAACTGTGATCTAAGAGAAGCTCGGTAATCTTCTTTTAAATAATAATGTCAAAAGAACGTCTTACATTATTGTAGTTTTTGACGGTTATAAAAGAACTATTGTCAAACAGATTAATCGCATTATAATTAGAAACTATTTTGAACAATCCATTTGCAAGATATTTCGGTGACGTCGGCTAACGAATAAGTGTCCGGATACTTTTGAATGGTAGTGTATGCACGTGGACGCACCGGATGCGTTCGTAAAAGTTCCCGGGCCCTCCTTTGCGGTTCCGAGGTTGGTCGCCACAGGGGTTTCAGCGGGTACGAATCGTAAAAAATCTCCGACCACCCTCTACTGTAATTAGTATGAAGTATTTTTTAACAATGTTCCTAACGAAACTCAATTCGCCCTGCATTCTCGATTCCATCGATTTTGCAAAATTGCAAGAAGTGTCTATCGGCATCCAAACGATCCCTCAATTAATACGTATTAGAGTATTCTCATCGCACTATCGTAATTACACGACGCTTACATCCAATTTGCTTCTGGTTCGGAAATTTCTACTGTTGGAAATCGCACGTTTAATCCGGGCAACCTGAATGGCATACTGCAAATGATGAGTATATATAATCGAAGGTATTAATTAGTGGAAAATCCATATTACGTGAGGCAAGTATCGATTACGTGTAACATAATTAGCACATTTCCAGGGCATCCGAATATTGCGTTCGCAATATTCGCTTAGCGGTGTTATGAAGGTTTTGCACGAAAAATTCATCCTTTTTGTAGACCGTGCTCGCCCTTTTTGCAAATAAAATTAACCTTTCCACACATGAAAATTGTCCGTCTTTTATTCAATTTTTTAATGCGAATGCGATATGTTTATTGATAAAATGTCATTACAGATAATTCATCTCCAATAATTATTTATTAATCCATGAACAGTGTATATGATCTACGAAAGGATTAATATGCAGTGAAAAAAAGTGAACGCGATCTACAAAATGCTTAATTTTTAATATAACTAACGAGCGAAAAAAGATGGAAATTCTTGATGCAAGTTGACCGATTCTTCCAACAAATTTTCAACAATATATTACAAGAAATTATTTACTGTCGCGTAAAATGAATGTTTAAACATGACTTCTGTCGCTCGTAAACTAATTAACGTGTCAGTGATTATACCTAGTGTTATGAATTAATTAGTAACGCAAAACGTGACGAGGTGTATTCAATATTCATCGATGTAGCTGTTCCGAGTACGTGCAATAACGTGAAATGTAAAGCACCGTTTGATGGATCTCGAAAGTTAATACCGTGATAATTCGAAATATCGTCCGACAGATATAAGGAAGATAATTTCTGATAACATTCTCACGTTGTGTTATAAATAGAGCACAGATTTTATGCATTTATGATAAAAATGAACAGATCGAATACGAAACTCCTTTAAGAGCTTTAAAAGAATTCGAGAACTTGCTGCAATTGCTAATAAGAGAAAAGACATCGAACTTAGGTTTCTTATAATTAATGACAATTTTTATTTTGCATAAGGATCCATAGTCTAGCTATAAATATGCTACAGTTGCATATTAAAAATCTTCACATCAAAGTAACATTTTTCACTTGGCAATTCTACTAATTAACATTTAAAGAACGTAAGTACCCAACGTTGTTAAGGTATAACAATGGTTTTCTTTAAAGTTAAAGCGATAGAACGTTCGAACGAAAAGCCTGTTGCTGACAAACATGACTCCGACTGTTGTTATTGCCAGACACGAAGAATGCAAAACATTTCTTAATCTATACAAGTGTAGACGCCGCGGAAATCAAATTAAATGAAAGGCATTCAAGGACAGAAAAACGATGACAAGTCTGGAAAAGGCTATTTCGAAAAGACGTATTTCTCAATCCCTTTAACCCCTTGACGTATTTTGACGCGTCCGACGCGTCATGAAAATTTCTGACAATAACTAATCGAGTATAGATGTGTTATTCTGTCCTTTGAAATTGGAATAAAATTCTAATCTCTTGTCATCAATATTCAAGCATTCGAGCAAATTTAGGCACACAATAAGCATCAATTTTCTTTCCCTTCTAAGAAATTATTGCAATCGAAAAATGTCTAATTACAGTAACTGCGACGAAGACGGTAATGTCAAAGGGTTAAAGGAGATTTTCAAGCTCCTTTCTCGTTAAAGAAAGTTACGTTTGAAACACGTTTCTCGCACACTAAACCGTGAGCTTGTCATTTAATATAACTATAACATTGTACATATAATAAGGATGTGTCGCATGAATCATTATGCCTTACCTCTCTAATCATCTCCATGGCATTTAACGATCCTTCAGCATGCTCAAGTAACTTTACGACGCAAATAATCCGACACCGAATACTTCGCCAGTTATCAGGAAATCCCTCGAAAACTATCGAATTAATTGCACCGGGAACGTGATTACACCCACACAGCACTCAACTCGCGTCTGTTTGGCACAATTTACGTGATTCGACGGAATCGCATTTCTTTATTATAGAGGATATAGCGTAAACGTTAAACCGTCACCAGCCTCGCCGAAAACATACGCATCGTATAATGCAGAACATGAGAATCCGTGTGTTTGTACGCGCGATAAGATGTCGCGCAGCTGGAAATACTTATCAACGCCGGTAGACGTTTCGATCAGATTATATCGAGTTAATACAACACGGCAGTTCAATTACATGCGCGCGAAATTTATTCGCGCCCCGGCTAATACGCGAATTAAAATCGTCGATGATGCACCGTACGGCGCACAATGGAGTATTTTATCCGAACAACTGGCCAAAAGTCGATCTAAAAAAGTTCACGTGAAATACAACATTTCTGGGGATCGTTGAATGTATAGAAAACAATATTCCAATACCAGAATGAGACTAATATTATAGTGCATAATGACATTATTTAATTCTCCGTGCTTCGATCTCGCGAAAAGGAATGAAATAATTTTTATCAGCTTTTGCACGATAAAAAGTTTGCTAATCAAGTACAAGATAAGTGTCGTAGAAAGTTAGTAGAGTTTCTAGGATTTTATCTCGCGGTTCGGACAAATGTTTCGCGGATATGGAAATGTTACAGTAATTATTATACCGTGATTTTCATGGATTTACGACAAAAACGGGTAGCGACAATTTGTAACACCGGAGAAAGCGAAAAAGTTTAACAAAGAAAGAAAGAATGAAATTCTAAAGTGGCTCCTGTTGCTCATAACAGATGCAGAAAACTCATGCAATGCACGAAGATCCGCAGTCTGGTACAAGGTCGTAAGCTACCACTCTGACGTATCTTTTTAATATTTGAAAAGTAACGCTGGAAAAATGCTAAAGGTCTCCCTTTGGAATTTACTTAAGCACAGGGCACATCAATGTATCCATGTTTCAGCTCGTGTAATTTCTGATTCACAGAGANACTAATTAACATTTAAAGAACGTAAGTACCCAACGTTGTTAAGGTATAACAATGGTTTTCTTTAAAGTTAAAGCGATAGAACGTTCGAACGAAAAGCCTGTTGCTGACAAACATGACTCCGACTGTTGTTATTGCCAGACACGAAGAATGCAAAACATTTCTTAATCTATACAAGTGTAGACGCCGCGGAAATCAAATTAAATGAAAGGCATTCAAGGACAGAAAAACGATGACAAGTCTGGAAAAGGCTATTTCGAAAAGACGTATTTCTCAATCCCTTTAACCCCTTGACGTATTTTGACGCGTCCGACGCGTCATGAAAATTTCTGACAATAACTAATCGAGTATAGATGTGTTATTCTGTCCTTTGAAATTGGAATAAAATTCTAATCTCTTGTCATCAATATTCAAGCATTCGAGCAAATTTAGGCACACAATAAGCATCAATTTTCTTTCCCTTCTAAGAAATTATTGCAATCGAAAAATGTCTAATTACAGTAACTGCGACGAAGACGGTAATGTCAAAGGGTTAAAGGAGATTTTCAAGCTCCTTTCTCGTTAAAGAAAGTTACGTTTGAAACACGTTTCTCGCACACTAAACCGTGAGCTTGTCATTTAATATAACTATAACATTGTACATATAATAAGGATGTGTCGCATGAATCATTATGCCTTACCTCTCTAATCATCTCCATGGCATTTAACGATCCTTCAGCATGCTCAAGTAACTTTACGACGCAAATAATCCGACACCGAATACTTCGCCAGTTATCAGGAAATCCCTCGAAAACTATCGAATTAATTGCACCGGGAACGTGATTACACCCACACAGCACTCAACTCGCGTCTGTTTGGCACAATTTACGTGATTCGACGGAATCGCATTTCTTTATTATAGAGGATATAGCGTAAACGTTAAACCGTCACCAGCCTCGCCGAAAACATACGCATCGTATAATGCAGAACATGAGAATCCGTGTGTTTGTACGCGCGATAAGATGTCGCGCAGCTGGAAATACTTATCAACGCCGGTAGACGTTTCGATCAGATTATATCGAGTTAATACAACACGGCAGTTCAATTACATGCGCGCGAAATTTATTCGCGCCCCGGCTAATACGCGAATTAAAATCGTCGATGATGCACCGTACGGCGCACAATGGAGTATTTTATCCGAACAACTGGCCAAAAGTCGATCTAAAAAAGTTCACGTGAAATACAACATTTCTGGGGATCGTTGAATGTATAGAAAACAATATTCCAATACCAGAATGAGACTAATATTATAGTGCATAATGACATTATTTAATTCTCCGTGCTTCGATCTCGCGAAAAGGAATGAAATAATTTTTATCAGCTTTTGCACGATAAAAAGTTTGCTAATCAAGTACAAGATAAGTGTCGTAGAAAGTTAGTAGAGTTTCTAGGATTTTATCTCGCGGTTCGGACAAATGTTTCGCGGATATGGAAATGTTACAGTAATTATTATACCGTGATTTTCATGGATTTACGACAAAAACGGGTAGCGACAATTTGTAACACCGGAGAAAGCGAAAAAGTTTAACAAAGAAAGAAAGAATGAAATTCTAAAGTGGCTCCTGTTGCTCATAACAGATGCAGAAAACTCATGCAATGCACGAAGATCCGCAGTCTGGTACAAGGTCGTAAGCTACCACTCTGACGTATCTTTTTAATATTTGAAAAGTAACGCTGGAAAAATGCTAAAGGTCTCCCTTTGGAATTTACTTAAGCACAGGGCACATCAATGTATCCATGTTTCAGCTCGTGTAATTTCTGATTCACAGAGAGACAGAGCGACGTGCATACGTGTTTACGGCGGGTCGCATGGATAACTGGTTTATCTGTAAAGACGTTTGATGCTGGCGTCGCTGCATTTTGTTTACAACACGGCATGACGAAGTACCTTTGGTTCCAGGTGGAAGTTACAAGGATATATTCCACGATTATTAATTGCTTTTTTAATTAGAGCGATACGTAACGTATTTATAGCGCTGTGTGTCAAGGTTGTGTATGATCGTTAAAGGGCAGCTGCGGAGGAAAGTATCTTGGTCCTATAGGGAAGCGTGTAAAAGTTATCTCTGAATATTATACACACGAGAGTACACAACTTTCGTAACAGAAGTTATTAGCTTTGTAATAAATTTGTCACGTATTATATATATATTTTATAATAATAATTTAATTCAATAATTATTATTATAATAATTATATATATATTTTATAATAATATTTTTATAATATATTTATAATAATATATAATATTTTATAATAATAATTTAATTTAACAATTATTATTATAATAATTATATATATATTTTATAATAATTTGTTACGTATCGAGAACATTTTGCCATCGATTGACCATTCTAGAATCTCCGGATGACGGCCATGGCCCAACCGCGAGAACAAGTTCCAGTAAGAAATGGCCAATCGTGGCCAGTGCACGTGTGTTGAAAATGTAATGTATTCAGAATGTTGCACAAGAAGAACACCTTCACAATTCGCCTCACCGGCATAGCGATTAGTACGAAGGCAAACAGATGGACGCGATCATCGTCGGGAATAAAAATATTTGACTCACCCATTGACGTCGGAAAAGGATTCATTATTGTTAGACGGCCCCGACACGTGGACTTTAGGCACGTGGTAGACGTCCCCTTGTCCTTGACCATGACCATGACCCGGTTGCTGATGATGGCCCTGAGCCGACGTATATTCATCGCTGTCGCTACTGTGCGGAGGCTCGGGCCCTACGCCGCCGCGAGGTCTGAAACAACAAAACCTCCGAGATATTACGAGAAATCGTTGCGTGTCCTCGTCATCTTCAGCGATCGCTCGCCGTTTCCCCTGCCGATTCGTTAGCCAAACACGGGGGCTCGCCGCGGGTTCTACATAATTTCCTGCGTCTGATTAAACCGTACTTCATCGAGCAAACGAATCTAATCGAACACGCGAATCCGCTAAGTCGCTAACACCTTAATCCGCGTTCTAATGCGAAGCACGACAAACGTGATTCTCTACAACCTGGATAATTCATTATCGATCGAGCATCACCGCGAGACTCGTTCCGATCACCCATCGAAGCTGGCCGAAATCTCTTCTGGCTTTTTTCCAAACATCGACGCGGTACAAAAAAAAAGGGAAAGACTATTCCAAGCTTCGAAAACTGAGAGAGAAGACTGGTTGGCCCCAGCCGATGTCTCGAAAATGATCGAATCCCCCTGCGCGTTACGCAATCCATGGAACCTCCGAAAACAATTCACAGATGTCGTGATGATTCTTTCGGCTGACCTCTTTCGCCGTGTTCCCAAATATTTATTGCCAAAAGCGAAAACTCGTCGAGAGTTCGAGACTGTATCGCGAAGGGATGACGGTCAGCGGAAGCATGACGAGATCTGTACGCGAATCGAAAGAGACACGAGAGGAACGTATGTATTCGTAAATCGTGTAACCTACATACATGTGTGCGCGAGGCCCGTGCATCGCAAGAACGCGCGTCGCTTCCTGATTTCGGTGGGACGTTTAAGATGCTACGTTCTATCGAAGACGCAACAGACGGGACAGACAGTTCCATTTTGATTCGCGCGATGAAACGGTCGGCCACGTTTTCACAGGAAAACGAACGATAAAACGTTTACAACGGCGAAACTGCCGTAGACGTGGAAAGCGTTGTGCCGAGCGTTACTAAAACCGTCTAAAACTCGATAGAAAGGTAAAAAGAAAAGAAAACGGGTTTTTGAAAAAGTCACACCTGCGATGAGTGTTATCGTAGCTAGCAGTCCAGTAGAGGGGCGCCACTGTCCCACGTTACTGATTCACAGTCGCATGCAAAAACCGACTCGGGAATTGGGTCTTCTCCCACGAACGGAAACTCTAATTATGACTAGAGCTCCTATATCCTCGTCCCGATTTTCATTTTACGCGCACCACAGAGGACTCTGACGACTTTCGCCGGCCGAGAATCAGGGCAGCCCCGGAAGCTGGCAACGGTCAATACGTTCGCAACATCGTTCCTCTCGGAGGCTGCTCGGAAGCTGCTCGGAAGATCAATGAAATTCTGTCCGGCCGCCACTGGGATGGTTATCCGCCGTAAGGGATCCTTTATCGCGGCGCCGTGACAGCCGCGAAAGACCGCCGACCCGCGTTGCGTCGTACGCACTGTCCGGGGCTATTTGTCCGCGTGCGTCCTTCTGGCAAACGCAACGAACCCGCCGCCGATGCCTCGAGCCCGAACACGGATCGGAATGGGTTCTCTCTCGTTATGGATCTCGGGTCGGATTCGACGCGGACGGGACGGACGAGGATCGTGAACGGCGTGTCCCGCGGAAGACGTGTTCGCGGTTTGCATCGAAAATACGGCAATGCGGTGCGTGGTGGAACGCGGTGCAGTCCGCGCTCGTGCAAACTCCTCGCTAGTCGACGACACTTCCGCGGATGTACACCAATGGTACAGCACCGTTGGATGTACAAGCGGCGAACGCACACTCTCAGCTGTTCCGCCGCGCCGCGTCTGCGCCAGTCCCGCCAGCTATTGACCGAACACCATACCGCTAGATATAGCTGTGCTAGCGGGACCTGATTGTGAGCGCACGAGAAGACGTACACATGCACGGCGATCTATATGCACCTATACGAGAGATGCGCCAGCGAGAGATCGCATCGCTGCACCCGGTATACGGAAACTCGCCGACAGAGGGACCGCGGTGCCGGTCAGCTGATCGGAAATGTTGTTCCCGGGACTAGCCCAAATCCCCCTCTCTCTCTCTCTCTTTCTCTCTTTAATTCTTTTTTTATCTTTCTCTCTTTCTAGCGTTGCTGGCGCTGGGCCGGCTGAGACGGGGCGAGACACGTGCGCAGTCTCGCGTCGTCGCTATATGTTTACACGGTGGACGTTTAATTGCCCCACAGAGGCTGGCGAAATGAAAATAACTTCCTCATTAAGGGACTACCGGTGTATACCAATGGCCGACAGTGACGTAACTAATCGCACGGGACACCCTAGACGAATGCTGGCGGCGAGCAATGGACGAACGTAAAAAAGATCCGAATTCTCCGAATTGCGGTGTCCTGTACGACAGTATCTTCATTTTTAGAAGTCTGTGGAAACTAAGGTATTTGATTATTGATCGAATGAAAATTGAGAAACGGCATCGATTACGTTTTCAGAATTAAGACGATGGGATAGACACGGATTGGCGTGAAATTAATTTTCAAATGTGAGCGAAGGGTTCCGTCACTCGCATATGGATGACGCGGCAGTCAAAGTGTTAAGAAATATATCAAGCCTTTTATAAAATGTTAGAAGAAATATTGGAAGTGAGTTCATTGTAGATATTTTGAGGAATTTTCTTAAGAAGTGTGAATCTTAGGTAATTTGTATATTTTCTTTCAGGTTTGGAAGTTTTATTGGATGACAGTACCGTCTCTAAAATAGACCAAACGATCCTTTAAAAATGGCAACCAATTTGATTCATGTTGAAGAGGAATTTTGTCCCGAACGCTTAATACTCTTCGTACCAACTATGCGACGGGAGGAATTTGTAATATGTTGTACGCGAGGACTGAAGAATTTTTACAGGCAACTACGGTTTACCTAAAGCGTAGGTAACTAAAATACAATGAACATCGAAGATTCTTCAGTATTGAACAAATTAAAATAAATATTAAGAATAAGAATAGCTTTTCGAGTAACTCGTTTAATTTAATCACACGTTTTAGGATAATCTTTAAATCAATTAATATCTAAATACCAATGATGATCAATTATCTCTTATGTAATTTCTAGTAACGAGAATTATTCGTAAAAATCAATTTCAAGATTGCCATTGATAGATCTTAAGAAAAGCATTATAGAGCAGGATAATTAATAACGTGTTATAAAATCAATGAAAAGAAATAAAGAGGTTTTAAATAGACACGAATTAACAGATTGATTGTGCTTGATAAACATTTACTTCTTTAGAGTGTATAATTTAGTAAATGAGAAATGTAGATCATAATTATGGGACAAGCTAAGTTCGTTAGCATTGTAATACTCTATGAAACTTTCTTTTCCGGATCCAATTTTCTGACCGTAATTTCATGGGACTTTCCCTTCGATAACAATCTACAACTGTAATTCTGTGAAAGAATGTATCGCGGGAACGAAGTTGTGTAGGATTTTATACGAGAAAGTTTCGGTAGATTAAAATTTACGTACGAAAACATGAAGTTCTACAAAAGTTTCTAGTGACGCCAACATGCCAATTAAAGGTTAATTGAATAAGAAATAAATTGTTTGTAATATGATTCATGCTGAGTGAGTGTTGTTATTCGCAATTAAGACTTGAGTTATATTTATTTATTATAAATTAATTAATGAAAATGTTACTATTACTCAGTATATTCTGTATCATTGCATTCAGTAAAGCGTCAGTTTCATTAACTATGACCGAACTTCTCTCGTGAATTTCGGTTATAATGTCTATAAACCCGAATGAGATTATCTTTCCTGTGTTGATCACGACCATAACTGAAGTTATCGCGCTTTTGATCCATCAACTCGAATTAAAAAATCCTGATATCTGTGCGTATCACGCTGCGAATCGCGAGAATAATTGTGCTATCAAACATCTAGGACAACAGTATGCTCCGAAGCAGTTAAACAATTCAACTGTTAAAAACGAATTGATTTCGACTAGCATTTAAAAGCATAATTACTGTGACTATCGAATTAGAGCAAGCTAAGAAACCTAAGGCGTCGGCAAACCAAGAGCTAAAGTAAACCTCATGAATGAATTCATGATCTGTCCGTCAATAACGAAGCTTCCAAGACAGCACAGCACGTAGAATTTACATATGAACAGATTGAATTTATTGTGACGGAAACAATGCGAATGACAACGTGCCAAATAATCAGTTCAAGCATATGCTCGAAAAGTAGGAATTACGCATAGTACAAGTCGTATTGTTGTGAAAAAGGAGGCAATGATTGTTGATCGGATGACTCAGGCGTCAGTCAAAAATCTTGATCCCTTCGAAAGTTAGAATTAAACCGCGAATTTTCTGCATTTATTAGAAAAATAAATAAAATATCAAATGAATTTAGGGACATCTATGCATTATTTTCGACTGACTTTAATCCGTAAAGAAAGAAAGAAATTCCTAATGGAACAATGTTTGTTGCAACTGGTGAACACAATTCGTATTTCGCGATAAAATTATAAAGACACGCGAACAGTTTAATAATATCGCCACACTGTTTTCAACCGATCAAAATTGCAAAAAGTAACACATTTTTATTCGATTTCATTGAACGAACGCAAATTTTCCGAATCCAATTGCAAGTGCACCCAGGACAAAATAAGTATCGATTTCCTCTCTTTAACAATTGTAACAAATCGAGGGCGACCGTAACAATGCTCTCGAATGCTGGCAGAGCTGCATCGACTTTTAGTAGAGGAGCCGGGGAGCCCTTCACAGAACCGAAACTAATTAGCATGAACGTGTGGGAACTGATAAGATCGCGGCAGGAGTCACCTTCGTGTACGATTATTCGCGGCAAGCACTTTCTTGCGAGATATTCACTGCATGAGAACCAACTTTTCCGACCCGTACTGTACGTCCTACAGTGAACACACCTCTCAGTCATGGTAAACCGCACCGCCCAGCCTCTGCGCAGTATTCCGATTCGCGAGGAACCATCGACGAGGTCGGCTCGTGGGAATTGATATCCGAGCGTAGACGATATCCAGGTGGATTTGACGGAAAGTATACGGAACACAGCCACGCCGAATTCGAAAGGACTTACGTGGGCATCGACACGACCGGGCAGCCGAGTTGCAGGAGGTTCCTGGCAAGGTATTCCGGCGCAGGTGCGTCAACCGCAGGTGCGGAGTGCCTGGCGGGCCGGACTGGCGTAGTATCATCAGAGATGTCCGGAGTCCACTGCACATTGCTCAACTTTCCTTCATACGATGACACGTGTAATCGGTTCCGATCGACCTTAGGAGACCTCGGGATCCTCAGGGAACCGCTGCGTCGCACTTGCGTGCCCAGTTCGCTGTCTGAAACCGAGGAACAATTAGCTTTTTTTTCCATGGAAATGCACGTTCTTTGAGCTCGAGCCAGACTCGTCGTCTAAACGCGATTCTAACTGATCGAAATTATTTTTATCACTACATTTCGCTTTATATGTAGACATCTGAATTTTAAGGAATAAAATTTTATTCGACATAAATTAATCGAATTTTTATTGAGATGTTAGACTAATTTATGAAACAATTTTTGCAGAAAATGTAATTGCTTGGAATGGCAACAAAATCGATGCTTTTATTTACCTTTTTATCTGGACCTCGAATGAACACTTAAACTACGCGATTTTTACATCTCTCAATGCCTACGAATCTCATTGCTTAAATTTTTCTTATAGGCTCAGATAAAAACGATGACAAACACTATTTTGTTATTGTCCAACCGATTGCATTTTTGTAAACTATTTTCACTCATTGTCTGATAAATTAGTTAGTTCAACATCCCAACAAAATTTAAATAATTTGGTTCGATTTTGAAAAAATGATTACGTTCTAAAAGATATCCGAATAATATCGTTACTCAGTGTATATCAAAAGTAACCCTTTTGTTTCTTATATCTTATCTTATTCATATCTATTTAGAATCATTTGTCACTTGTTTGCTCGCATAAATAAGAATGTAAAAGCTTTCGCAGAGATTGGAGTATAATGAACACAAACGTGTACAAAATGTAATAATTTTATCAAGTTATCCGATTCGTATTCTTCATTAGTTTCAGCAATATATAGAACCTCGTGTTCAATGTCTCAAACAGAATTTTACCCTTTAAGTTACGCTCTATAGTGATCTAATTTCGAAGCGAATGCTAGTGAACGCGTTATGAAGCTTCAGATGCAACACAACAGTCAATCCACTAATTAGCGAGTACATCCCTCTTGGACACAGTAATCCTACTAGTCTGATGGGCGATTTTCAGTCTGAAGTGCTGCGAACAGGAGATTGGAAACGCAATTTCTCAACCATTAACAACGACATTGACCTGTATTTAGTCTATGCCATCGATGGGACCGTCATTAACGTGAATTTATATTTCGCTAGTATCACAAAATTGTTTCTGAATTTAATATGAAAAATATGAATGTAATAAAAAATATCATATAATATGAAAAAGTAATGTTTATCATACCCTTTTAAGTATCGCATTACTTAAAATCTCTTTATTTTATTTATTATTTTTATTATTTATTAGGATTTAATTTACTGGAATATTACTGATCATTCATCGGTCGTTTGACACATTATTCATAAAATCCTATATTACACTTTAAACGAGAAGTTGCAATTATCAAGAAATGCTGGTTGCGTTCAGGAATGTATGAGAATTTTCTAATCTGGCATTCTAAAGCTCTTCAGATAAAATTCTTCTCGCTAGGGGCACGTTTGCATCTTCGCTTATATTGTATTCGCGTGGCTTCTTTTATAACAAACCGTTTCCATTTCACTTCGTTGGTCTGATATAAAACAGATTACGTTTGACATTTTTTGAGTCCGGGCTATCCGATATTTCTACCACACTCTGACTCAAGAGTTTCTAGAAAGCACTAGGGTCAAACATTTCTTTAAGATTGGATTCGAAGCCAGAATATACTATTTAGTTCCTGACAATTAACCCCTTAACGTGCACGCTCGTGTTAACTCGAGCGCGCTAAACTGGCCAAACTGTGCACACTCGAGATAATTCGAGCGACGTTGTACTTTATGTTGCTATAATTTTTCACACTCGAATGCAATCGAGAATTGAAAATAACAATGTGAAAGCAAAAAAAAGAACAATCGTTTTATTGATATTTATCATTTACATGGGATTGTAAGCTATAACACTTACTTATTCAAGTATAAAATATATCCTTTTTCTACTTATCGCTTACGACTTATCTCTTCCTTGTGAGCCGCTTTCCGACAGCGTATTCATATTCAGATTCTGATTCGCTCATTTTTCAATATATATTTTACTAAAATATAATGTAAAATAAAATATAATAATAATAATAATAATAATAGTAATAGTGTAATATTCTGAAAATTAGAAATCATACCAATTGTATAAATTAATTAATTGTATTTTTGTAATTTTCTTGCCAAGACAACGTTCTAAATTGTGTTTTGTTACATTAAAAAAAAATTGATTCTTTTTGGCCGGTCTTTTTAAAAAAAACTGTGCATTAAGGGGTTAATTAAAATCCGTTAATTAAATTACGTAATTTAACGTAATTAAATTACGTTAACGTCAAAAATATTTCGAGAAAAATCGAGAAATGAAATTATAAATGACCCTAAGCATAATCTGTTATCTGTTGGTCAAAAAGGTCCGTCGTTCGAGCGTTAACGGGAACGTTTACTCGTTGGTATAAATACGTCATAGCACTCGCAATCTCCCCTAGTATCTTCGTCAGTAATATATTTTGCTGAATAACTGTTGTCGTCTGTCGCAGCCTCCTAACGCACGTGTACCATAATCCTGATGTCAATAACAAAGCACCCACTTCCACCTTAGATACGTATCTGCTCTTCCAACGCACTTTTATTGATTTATTCTGACTCCAGGAATTATTTGATCGCTAAATTTCCTGTCTGCAAAAAACCGGCGATTGCCGTTTCTCCGAAAAATTCGAAAAAAAATGTTTCCGCCTGTCATAACGGGTGGAAAAATTCTGCAAATTCGAACGCCTCTAAAAACATCCTTTATAACGGTGTGCCAAAGCTTGTTGTACGATTACCTTTTTACCGTCTTGTGGCACAAAAATAAGGAACAAGTTCTACTATCTCTCGCGGTGTTGCTTATACAGATATGTATGTATATGTGTAGCTACAAAGATGGCAATATACTTCTCGCTCGAAGCTCAGTAAAACCACCAAAAAAAAAATCGCAGGTCAACTTTTAACTTTACCACAGTAGATTCAATGGCGAAAAAAATAATCCAATGTTTTTAGAAATATTCTAGTCATAGTTTCACTCGTAACATTCGCGGGAAGAAAATGTATCTATTTTCCATCGACGTATTACGAAACCGGATGCTTCGAGTATTAAGACGAGTCCAAGTTTATTGTTGCACGATACTTTTTCACGAAATTACACCGATTTATAACCGCAAGGATATTTCGATAGTCCGAGAATCACGTGTTCAAACACTTATTTGAGCCACTGCGTTATACATATATATTTTGTCGCGAAGCAGTACGATTTAGACGGAGCCATCGAATCCATTCACCAGCGTCGTCGGAGATGTTGCTTGTTGACGTAACGGTTAAATGGAAACACGTGTCGACTATTTTCGATTCGCATTCGCGGAAAAAAAGGCACGCCTACTTCCGGGCATGGTATGATTTTCGGTTTTCGGGGCTCGCGTTACGCGGGAAAATGCGCGGCACGATGATATTCCGCTTCGTGTCCGATTTTCAGATAATAATAGCACCGTGTCTGTTACCTGAGTGATGTCCACGTCTAGACATGATCGCGACTGTGCGATGTTTTTAATCCGGCGGCGATAACGGTCGAGACGGAAAGCGACGAGCAGGCTCGGAACGTTCGGTGCGAGGAGCGAAATTTGTTGCGCGAACGGTGAGTTTGTTAAACGAACAGCGACTGATGTTTTAAGAAACAGGTGCGGTAATGTTGTTGGGTCAGACGCGATTCTAACCTATTCTTGGCGACGGAGCTTTAATTCGCTTAAAACCTTCTTGCATCACGTCAACCTTAGCATTAGTATAGCATGTCTTCGGTTTCTCGAAAGTTACGTGAGACGTGAGAGTATTAAAAACATCGTTTTGTAATCGAGTCGACGGCACCATGCTGTCTGAAATTCGACTTCTCGCGCAAAAAAAAAACAAAAACATATCCAGATGTCCTTTATATGCGATCGTTCTGAACGATCGTGAAATAAGCGTTTAATGAAAAATATAATTCGGCGCTTATACGAGCGATCTGAAACGTTTGCGACTAATAAAAAATTTAAATATTTCTAAACGTTTGCGTATTCACTGTTCTCGGCTTTGAAAAAATCCAAATAAATTCTGAAACGTTTATCGGAGCTTCCACTTCGACGTACAATTTTTTTCTCGAGTTAACTAATTTTTTCCAATCTCCACAAAATAAAGAAACACACCGGTTTCGCAGGTTTTGCGTTACAAGTTAGTAAAATTATGGAGGCTCTGTCATAGAAAATTTCTACGGTCTAAATAAATCCAGTATTTTTGTCTTCGTAAAGTAATAAATATATATATATTATAATAAATATTTATATATTTCTACGTTCGATAGGTTCAGTGTCAATGCCGAACAAGGTAAGCTCAATATTGCCGGAGCAACGTCGATACCTGCTGCGAGAATTAGCTGCTTTCCTCGCGAAGTGTTTTTGGCACAAGATTCCGCACGGTATTCGGAACGCCTCATTGTTCAAACAGTGTGAAACGGTCGCTAATTATGTCGTGCTAAAATCCGCGATTATGCTAGTGTGCTCGTGGTTTCGTGCGTATGGTGACAGCTTACCTCGTATCTGATTCAGTCGCAATGCCATATCGCAAAGCAAAAGGTTGCACCGTCCGACATGGGCGAAAGTAACATCGGATGAAAACAAAGATCTCAAGATGAGGGTCAAGGGAAGAGAGTTGTACAGTCGTCCAGTGCGTTTGTACTAAAAACACATTCAACGGTTTCGCAGAACTGTGAACGGACGAAGGGGGAACGTACGAAACACTGATTCTTTCTTTGACCGTTCAGAGCGTAATAAATATAAGCAAAAAGCAGAAGCGTTAATGTGTGAGAAACGACCTCGTGGACCTCTGCCTAACGACTAAAAAGTTGGGCGTCCCCCAAGTACAAGGACAGTCACGTTTTTGGCAAAAGGCCGCGCATCCTTGCCGGGAATACGGTATTTCCCTGAATATTTGCGACACGTACGTCGCTTTTTCGCGGATCCCACCTGGTTCGGAATTATTTCCGACGATTCCGGGGTCGTCTAGGGAGACCCAAGAT